ATTTAATTTTTTTTCTTTAATATTACCTAAATTTTTTTTCTCTCTCTCTCTCTCCTCTTTTTTATCCCTTTTTAATTTGTGATAAGGTGTTTAAAACCTCGGGCCCTTTACCTTTCCCTTATATTTATTAAAATGTACCAAAAATTAATTTAAAACAAAATACAAGAGGGGCCTTTAGTGGTTTTTTGGGGGGGTGTGTGTCGTATTGAGTTTGGGGGTGGTCCCGGGGTTTATATGGTTGGAGGTGTTTTATTGAACTTTGGGACTTGTGTCTTTTTGGGTCTATTTTTGGGGCTTCTGACTTTTAGTGAAAATTTGTTTGCATAAGCTTAAGGGAAAGATAACGGAATTCTTGTGTTGTAGTCTTTCACCAGATATCATCACTGGCAAAAATGGCAAAAATGTCATAGAGGAACCCATTTCTGCAGGTGATGGAAATGATGATGCTTCCCGAACCCTTTAAAAGTAAACAAAAAAGAAAAAAGTGAGAAAGGGCTAGAGCGTCGACGTTTGTCAGACTCACTTGACTCGAAACAATTGATTTCTAAACGTCCTTGGGGCACAGAGGCTGCAAGAAGTCTTTCTTCAAAGGAAAAAGTGTTAAGCTGAAATAAACCCCGGGGCAACCCCGCTGCCCTGCTAATGTGCATGGCTAATGGAACTGTAAAAAAATCCTAACTCAAGGAAACCAATTTAGGAAAAAACACACCAAAAAAACTTTGTGTTTGTGGAACAGAAAAAAGGCTGATCAATGACTACTTTGTACACCTTATGGGGGGTTTTTAAACTTTCTTTCCCAAAACCCCCATCAGGGCACCAAAAACCCCTTTAAAAAAGGGGCAATTTTCATTTAAACTTTGGATATCCTCTCTGCATGGACCCTCCCCTCTGACTTAAATGAGCTATCATCAACCAAAAAACTTAAAGGAAAATCCCAAATTATTGCCCCTTGGGTAGGTCCTGTGCCCCTCCCCCCCCGGGAAAATCTGGGGGTAAAGGTTTAAAGTTTCCTTTAAAAATCGAATGTACCTAAACCCCCTTTAAAAGTAAGGGGTTACAAATTGCCAGCACTATGGCCATGTTGCAGTTAAAATGTGGAAAAAAATTCATTCTTGGTGTGGTAAATGTGCTGGAAACATTCCACTAGGGGAATGCACAGTAGGCCCCGGGCCCCGCCGAAAAAATTTTAAATGTATTTTAAATGAAAAAAAGTTGGGGGTTTTCAGTTTCCCACAAGGCTTTTCAAATCAGAACCCCAAAAAAACTTCGTGTAAACCTGATTTAAAATCCCTTTTTGGTAACTGAGGGGGGTGGGGCCATCCAGTCCCCACCACAGCCAGAAACTGAGGGCTGGAAAACCCCTGCAAAGTGGGCAAGAAAAACCCCCCCTCCAAATGCAAAGGATTCTGGTGATCCCCGGGAAAGCCCTCAAAACACACCAGCTGTGGGGAGGGAAACTAGCCACCCTGCTAGCACATATGGAAAATACTGCTTTCCACTAAGTACCCAAGGCTACACCTTTAAAAATGGGGGGTGAGTTTTTTTCTTTTTTCTCCAATACACCAAATACAAAAGTCAGACGGAAAACCACCCCCGTTTAAACCCCCCGGGGAAAATTTTTGATGAGTCAGTCACAGGACCTACCTGCAATGAAATGAGAAACAGTAGCGGGGAAGCATATTGGGTACACAAAAGGCCTAGGAAAATAGGCCCCAAAAAGGGGGTTTTAAAAGGGAATACATATTTTGGAAAATTTAAATCTACAATCTATAGTTCACTTATCTTTTTACAAAAAATTTTGGGAAAATTTTTGCTTTAGTAATCGGTATCTATTTTCATTAATAAGTTTTCTTGACATGTCACAAAGGTTATTATACTGCTGTCCTCTGTTTTCCCTCAATAAGTGGACTTAAGCACATATTTTTCAAGAATGACCATAGCCTGATCACAAAATTTTTAATTTATTTTGATCATCACTGTGTGCCCCCAAACTGCCAGAAGTCTTGTAACGAACCAAAGCCTGGCCACTACAACACAGTCAGTCTGTTCACATTGCAAGTTGCCCCATAAACATACTTATCACGTTCATTTTACATAGTGGGTTATAGATCTCTCAGGCTTCTAACTGAAAATTCCATAACAACATTTTCTTATTTACTTCTCCCAAAATTTTATTCCTAATGCAACACATTATACCAAAGTTATATTCTACATTCCCTTTCTCGATACTCTCTTGGCTAACAATCAAATTTATCATAAGGGGTAATCCCAAGTGTGAGGATCCATAGCAATTGACATTTAAATTCCCCTTTTTCCCAATTTTTGAGTATCTTACCTGGCTTCCCCAAAGACATGTTGTTGGAGCTTTTTTGAGTCAAGAGCCTTCAGTGATGACATAAATCGTAAGAATAAGTCAAGTTTAGTGTCATAGGTTAGCTTTAGCGCCATTAGGATTGCAAAACAATTCGTTGCAGTGTAACGCCCAGTTGTTTAAATTTTTATCCCAACTCAAAAATTTATTATCGTTCTTAAATAGGGGGGTGGCAACAGAGCGATGCACCCCCCCAGAAGACTCCGTTTAGATCCATCATGTATATAATTGTGATAACTTGTTTTTTCACCACTAGGTGAGAAATTTTTTCTTTAGCAGTTGCTCTAACAAAGATTTTAAAGGGAAGGATTACTAGCAATGACTTCTTTGGGGGGACTTTGTAGGTATGGATATTAAAGAACACACTTCCATGGAGGGGTGAAATGCCTTGTTGCCTACAGTGATACGTTCATGCAGGTTATAAAACTTTAAGCAATTGCACGTTTTCACAATCCTTTAGATCTATGTGTATTTACCTCTAGACACTTGGTAAATTCACTGTGACAGTGTCTGGTTCGTTTTTCCAACATTCTAATACCGAGTACAGTGTTAATTTTAACAATCCTATACTGATACTAAAATACCAAGCCCCTTCCCCCATGTTAAGAACTTTTTAGATCTGGGACAGCCCAAGAATAAAACCTGAGAGCTTCATTTTGCATTTTAAATCCAAGGGGGCGGGGAGAACTTTCCTAGCTAAAAACAACATGGGAGCACATAACAATTAAGGACCCCAACATAGGCTATGTAAATCATTTTCAGATTCCTTTACATTTGCACCCTAGTTGGGATTGTACCAGCAACAGCTTTTAAGCATTTAGCCTAGCTTTTTCATTTTTTGTTTAGGGGTTGTGGTATGTTTATTTGTTAAAGGGGCATCACACCAAGATATCTGAATTTTAACGTAGCTAATGATTTCACCCTGCAAATAGATAACACAAATCGAGTCACACAAGGAACCATTTGAAAAAGACCGACCGTCCCCCATGATACACGGACTTTGAGTTATGTCGGAGGATCTCACCTTCAAGGACCATAACATTGTATCAATCGCATCTGCTAGAAAAATGACAGGATGGATAATGAGAACCTTCAAAACTAGGGAGGCCAAGCCCATGATGACACTCTTCAGGTCACTTGTTCTATCTAGGCTGGAATATTGCTGCACTCTAACAGCACCTTTCAAGGCAGGTGAAATTGCCGACCTAGAAAATGTACAGAGAACTTTCACGGCGCGCATAACGGAGATAAAACACCTCAATTACTGGGAGCGCTTGAGGTTTCTAAACCTGTATTCCCTGGAACGCAGGAGGGAGAGATACATGATTATATACACCTGGAAAATCCTAGAGGGACTAGTACCGAACTTGCACACGAAAATCACTCACTACGAAAGCAAAAGACTTGGCAGACGATGCACCATCCCCCCAATGAAAAGCAGGGGTGTCACTAGCACGTTAAGAGACCATACAATAAGTGTCAGGGGCCCGAGACTGTTCAACTGCCTCCCAGCACACATAAGGGGGATTACCAACAGACCCCTGGCAGTCTTCAAGCTGGCACTGGACAAGCACCTAAAGTCAGTTCCTGATCAGCCGGGCTGTGGCTCGTACGTTGGTTTGCGTGCAGCCAGCAGCAACAGCCTGGTTGATCAGGCGCTGATCCACCAGGAGGCCTGGTCACAGACCGGGCCGCGGGGGCGTTGACCCCCGAAACTCTCTCCAGGTAAACTCCAGGTATCCTGGGTGACTAACTCTCCGGGTTGAATATCCAAACAAAATCCTTCATTCGGTATTAGAACGAGAGACCTGAACCTACATTTTTTGAAAAAAAAAAAATGAAGAATGATGGGAGACATGATCGAAGTGTACAAATGGAAGACGGTCATCAATAAACGAAATATAAATAGGGTACTGAGGATATCCGACTAAGGAAGAACTGAAAGTAATTCATTACCTGTGAATATAAAAGAAACACTGTCTGTTTATAAATTAAAGTCTTCTCAAAAACCACTTACTCATCCACAACTAAATAAATACTGAATAATTGTATCTCATAATTTGTATCTCATATATGTATCTCATTATTGTATCTCATGTCAACCTGTGACCCAATCAAACTTTGTTACTATTTAACTTCATTACCTAACAGAATACTCCATTCTAGTGATTACACAGCAACACAGTAAATGACCATATAACCTGTCTTTGTAATACTCATTTGTACTAAATTGTTATCTGTTTTACAATAATTTTTGTACCACTAAATATATCATTGCTTAGTTAATCTTAAGTTAATTTTAAGCCTGCCCATAATGCTCTGTATACAAGGAACTTTGGCATGTTGCACTTTAAAAATTGTATTCCTTGTACTTCTCTGTATCATGTTCAAATAAATAAATAAATAAATAAATTGGATAGGTTTAGATATAGAAAGGATTAGGCATGGATGGTTTGGCAATATAGTCGATGAACAGAACAGTCTGTCAGGTAGGGTTAATGAAGCTAGAGCATTAGAATAAATAAATTAGACATATATGAGTGCGCCTCCTTTCTTTTGTTCTTAAAAGCGTACGAAGGTTTATTTTTTAAGAAGTGGATTTGATAAGGGCCTGCCTAGCATGGGCCAGTAGGCCTACTGCAATGTTCCTACATTCTTGTTTCCGTATCAGTGATATATCTAGGAATCTGTAGACGTTTCGCCAACTAGTGGCTTTATCAGAACAATACTGTCTTCTGTTGTTGTCTCTGTATTATAGTTATAAAGCCACTAGTTGGCGAAACATTTACAAATGATGATACACAAGTGTTTCTTATGGTGTTGTTTTAGGTAAATATGCAATATTTTTATGTTTTTTAAGGTATTGAGTCTTCTTATTTGAAAAAAAATATATAATGCATTGCAACAATTATTATGGCATATTTAGTGGCAGTTTCTGATATTTATTGATATAATTTTTATCAGATATAAAGTATGAGGCAAAATGAGTGAATTAGTAAACACATGAATGGCAGCGCAGGAGCGTGTGAGGGACCTCTCACTCGGCTCAGTTTTTCCTTCACATTTAACGTGTAACGTGACTCTTGGTTCCTGTGACTGAAGACTGGGAAAGGTGAACATCTCCTGGGATAGAGAAGAACTCAAGGTATGGTTGACCCGCAAGAGTTTACGCAGATATGTGTAATGTTTGTGTGGTGTTGGTGGGAGGTGTTGAGCCTCCATCATCGCCATGCTAGGTGCTGCTCCACTATCTTCCAAGTTTACTTCATGTTGATGACGGAATCTTGATCCAAGGAATCGCATCTGCCTTTCTCTTCCTTAGATTGAACCTGAATACCTCCCATTATCCCCAGGTGCTGTATGACCCCTACTGGTTTAACGCTTCTCCCATGAATGCGTTAACACAGTATACTATTCAGTTCCTTCTCTGTCTCGTTCTCTCATGTTTTTTTCTAAGAGGTTTACATCCAACAAGAACCTCGGTGGAAAAAATTTACAGTCTTTAACTTTACTAGGTTACCTATAAGGAGTAAGAATTTTATTTCTTTGCATACTTTACAGTGTGTAATTGCAATTCTGATTTGTAAGTACAAAGAAAGCCACTGTCATGCTGCCACATTTTGGCCAGAATAAACCTAATGCTTAACAAACTATTTAATACTAGTCATATACTAATCATAGTTGGTTCGAATTTAACATCATTTTTTTTTTATATTTCAACAGGTAGTTAGTGGTTTAGCAGTAATTGAATTTACGATTTTTGTTACATTTTACATAATAATATTGAGACCATTTTAATTTTGAAATCTTAAAATGTTTATGAATTTTTGAGTTGTTGGTGGCAATAATATATAGTGTTTTGTGTAGTTAATTTTGGGAGATGAGGTGATTTGTAAGCAGAGCCTTGAACTAGTGTGCAGGCAGCAGGGGCCCTTTTGTATGTTCAGGCAATGAATTCCAGATCTTAGGGCCCTTTATGTACATAGCATTTTTGCATAGGGAGAGATGGACATGAGGGATATTAAAGTGTTTTGTGTTTTGTAAGTGCATTCTGTTGTAGTTTTCAAGGAGTTTGAGAGGAGGGTTAATATTGGAGAATGTTCTGTGTATGTAGTAGGCACAATAATATGAGTGAATATTGTGTATGTTAAGCAGGTTCAAGCTCTTAAATATCAGTGAGGTGTGTTGCCTGGCACTGTAGTTTATAATAAATCTTACAGCAACTTTTTGTTGGATTATTAAAGGTTTAAGGTGATTTGCTGTGGTTGAACCCCATGCACAAATACCATAGGTGAGTTAAGGGTAGTTAAGACAGTGGTAAAGAGCAAGAAGTGCCATTTGGGGTACATAGTACCATATCTTAGAGAGGGTGCCTACTGTTTTGGAGATTTTTTTGGAAATATGCTGTATGTGGGTCTGAAATTTAAGACAGCAGTCAATGTAGAACCCTAGAAGTTTTCTATCAGTGTGTCTTGCAATGGGGGAACCATTTATCAATATGTTTAGCTGAATATTTGCAGCTCTGTTTCCAGACAGTACTCGCCTAATTGCACTCACCTAATCGTGGTTGCAGGGGTCGAGACTCAGCTCCTGGCCCTGCCTCTTCACTGATTGCTACTAGGTCCTCTCTCTCTCTCTCTCTCTGCTTCCTGAGCTTTGTCATACCTTGTCTTAAAGCTATGTAGTATGGATCCTGCCTCCACTACATCACTTGCTAGGCTATTCCACTTCCTGACGACTCTATGACTGAAGAAATACTTCCTAACATCCCTCAGACTCGTCTGAGTCTTCAGCTTCCAATTGTGACCCCTTGTTTCTTTGTCCCCTCTCTGGAACAACCTGTCTCTGTCATAAGAACATAAGAAAGGAGGAACACTGCAGCAGGCCTGTTGGCCCATACTAGGCAGGGCCTTTACAATCCATCCCACTAACAAAACATTTGCCCAGCCAATTTTCAATCCACCCAAGAAATAAGCTCTGTTAACCCTATCCACTCATATGCAAGTCCCACTCAAATCCAACCCCTCTCACTCATGCATTTATCCAACCTAAATTTGAAATTACCCAAGGTTTTAGCCTCAGTAACCCAACTAGGTAGGCTGTTCGACTCATCAGCTACCCTATTTAAAAACCAATACTTTCCTATATCCTTTCTAAATCTAAACTTGCCTAATTTGAATCCATTACTGCGGGTTCTCTCTTGGAGAGATATCCTCAAGACCTTATCTATATCACCTTTATTATTACCCATCTTCCACTTACACACTTCGATCATGTCTCCCCTCATTCTTCATCTAACAAGTGAACGTAATTTAAGGACCTTCAATCTTTTTTCACGAGTTAGATTTCTAATGCTATGTATTAATTTAGTCATTCTATGCTGAATGTTTTCTAATGAATTTAGGTCTATTTTGTAACATGGAGACCAGAACTGGGCTGCATAATCTAGGTGAAGCCTTACTAATGATGTATAAAGCTCTGATATACATGCTGAACTTCTGTTGCTTACACTTATTACATATGCTTAGGCATTGCTGTCTTGGTTTAAGGTTACTGCTTACCATAACCCCCAAGTCCTTTTCACAATCTGTATGGCTAAGTTATACATTATTTAACTTATAAGTGCTACCTGGAGTTTACCTGGAGAGAGTCCCGGGGGTCAACGCCCCCGCGGCCCGGTCTGTGACCAGGCCTCCTGGTGGATCAGAGCCTGATCAACCAGGCTGTTGCTGCTGGCTGCATGCAAACCAACGTACGAGCCACAGCCCGGCTGATCAGGAACTGACTTTAGGTGCTTGTCCAGTGCCAGCTTGAAGACTGCCAGGGGTCTGTTGGTAATCCCCCTTATGTGTGCTGGGAGGCAGTTGAACAGTCTCGGGCCCCTGACACTTATTGTATGGTCTCTTAATGTGCTAGTGACACCCCTGCTTTTCATTGGGGGGATGGTGCATCGTCTGCCAAGTCTTTTGCTTTCGTAGTGAGTGATTTTCGTGTGCAAGTTCGGTACTAGTCCCTCTAGGATTTTCCAGGTGTATATAATCATGTATCTCTCCTCCTGCGTTCCAGGGAATACAGGTTTAGGAACCTCAAGCGCTCCCAATAATTGAGGTGTTTTATCTCCGTTATGCTCGCCGTGAAAGTTCTCTGTACATTTTCTAGGTCGGCAATTTCACCTGCCTTGAAAGGTGCTGTTAGTGTGCAGCAATATTCCAGCCTAGATAGAACAAGTGACCTGAAGAGTGTCATCATGGGCTTGGCCTCCCTAGTTTTGAAGGTTCTCATTATCCATCCTGTCATTTTTCTAGCAGATGCGATTGATACAATGTTATGGTCCTTGAAGGTGAGATCCTCCGACATGATCACTCCCAGGTCTTTGACGTTGGTGTTTCGCTCTATTTTGTGGCCAGAATTTGTTTTGTACTCTGATGAAGATTTAATTTCCTCATGTTTACCATATCTGAGTAATTGAGGGTAATTGAGGGTTATGGACACTCCCGAGCTTCAGAACCTTGCATTTATCTAAATTGAACTGCATCTGCCACTTTGCTGACCAGGTACAGTGGACCCTCGCCTAACGATATTAATCCATTCCTTAGAGCTCAACGTTAGGCGAAATTATTGTTAGGCGAATTAATTTTCCAGATAAGAAACAATGGAAATCAAATTAATCCGTGCAAGACACCCCAAAGTATGAAAAAAAAATTTTTACCACATGAAATATTAATTTTAATACACACAAACTGAAGAAGAGATGTACCATACATGACACTTACCTTTATTGAAGATCTGGTGATGATTGATGGGATGGGAGGAGGGGAGAGTGTTGATGGTGTTAGTGTTTAGAAGGGGAATCCCCTTCCATTAGGACTTGAGGTAGCAAGTCCTTTTCCGGGGTTACTTCCTTCTTCTTTTAATGCCACTAGGACCAGCTTCAGAGTCACTGGACCTCTGTCGCACAACATATCTGTCCAAAGAGGCCTGTACCTCTTGTTCCTTTATGACTTTCCTAAAGTGTTTCACAACATTGTCAGTGTAATAGTCACCAGCACGGCTTGCAATAGCTGTGTCAGGGTGATTTTCATCAGAAAAGGTTTGCACTTTAAGCCACATTGCACACATTTCCTTAATCTTTGAAGTAAGCAACTTCTTCAATTTCTCTCTCCCCTCCTCCAAAGCAGTTTCCTCAGGTGTGGCCTCTTGCTGTTGAAGATGATCTAGCAGCTCATCAGTGGTTAGTTCTCATTGTCCTCCTCCACCAACTCTTCCACATCCTCCCCACTAACCTCACCAATATGAGCACTAGTTCCAGGCATTTTTTCCTGTTCACCTGGGTGTTGGTCAACTGTTGTGGGTTGCATCCTGGGGGACAAGATTAAGGACCCCAATGGAAATAAGTTAGACAGTCCTCGATGATGCACTGACTTTATTGGGTTATCCTGGGTGGCTAACCCTCTGGGGTTAATCGTTTCTCGGTAATTGTTTCATGTTCAGCCATACCAACAACGCACTCTCCACATCTTCGAGTAATACAGCTGACGGTGGTGCAGCAACAGCTGATGGTGGTGCAGCAACAGCTGACTGTGGTGGAGCAACAGTTGACCATGGTGCAGCAGCAGCTGACTGTAGTGCAGCAACAGCTAACCGAGGTGCAACAGCAGCTGACTGTGGTGCAGCAGCAGCAGCTGTGGTGCAGCAACAGCTGACTGGTCCAGCAACAGCTGACGGTGGTGCAGCAACAGGTGACTGTGGTGCGATAGTATTTCTCACCCTTTTTACCACAGGGTTGGCACTAGAAGCTTTCTTGAGGCTCATGGTCACTTATTTTGCAGGTGAAATCACTAAAAAAGCTGTGATAATATGAAATGTTCTGATTGTATGCTTGGATGTGACCGCGGAGGCTGGCTTGTAAACACCGCCACCCACGGAACAAGTGAGTCTGGCTCAGGCCGCATGTGGACGCGTCTCGAACGAATCGCGTTGAGCGAGTTTTTTAGCGCTAGGCAAGGCAAAATTTTTGCGTTAAAATGTATCGCTAGGCGGATTTAACGTTATGTGATGCCATTGTTAGGCGAGGGTCCACTGTATTGAGTTTGTCTAAATCCTCCTGAAGTTTCCTGATATCTACGTTTGAATCAATTATCCTAC